ACATGAAATCTACCTCTAAAAGGGAAAAAACTCAGATTTAAAATAAAGGCCGAGTAAAACGCTGACCCCACCCCACCCCACCGCGCGAACCGAGCCGGGCGGGCGGCGGCGGCGGCGCGCGCGTGGGGTTCCCTTTCCTTCTCTCTCTACAATAGTTTAAGCCTTCCAAATGGGTTGGTATTAAAAAGGTGAGAATTAGTCCCTTATCCTTCCAATGTGGGACAAGAGTGTCTTCCTTCTACACACTTGTTAAACCACCATCTTGAATGTAATCTCCAACAATCCCCCACACTTTCAAGGTGGCAAGAAGAAGACGGAATTTCTGGCATGAGTGCTGATCTTAATGTCAATGGTTGTACCTTGAACTGACACGTAGTGACTTGAGAAACTTTCTCCTTTGATAGTGAATTGGATCTTGAACTATCGAAAGAAGAGTTAGTTTTGAACTCAGTTCACACATCAGCATTCACCCTGTAAGACAACATATAACTTGGTCTTTCTCGTAAGGTCAACTCTTTGACCTGAGACCTATCTCTGAATAGGTGTGTTTAGCTTCCAGGTTTATGTGACCTCGAAGTTTGCTCACTGTATCGCTACTAAGCCCATCTCCCTCGATGTTTCGAAGATGGCTCTTTTGTTTAGCCCCTTCGTGAGGGGGTCTGCAATATTCTTTTCGGATTTCACATATTCTAGTGAAAGTACGCCACTTAGAATTAGTTGTCTCACAGACTCATGTATGACTCTTATGTGTCTCCTCTTACCATTATAGGCACTATTTTTTGCTACGCACATCGCAGCTTCCGAGTCACAATGTATGGGCACAAACAGCGTAGAACACCCCCACAATGGCACGTCTGCCAGTAGGTTTCTAAGCCACTCAGCCTCTTGCCCTGCTAGATCAAGAGCTATAAATTCAGCTTCCATCGTTGATCTGGCTATGCATGACTGTTTCGTGGATTTCCACGATACTGCTACTCCTCCTATGGTAAAAACATACCCGCTGGTGGAGCTCACCTCATCACTGTCATTCACCCAATTCGCATCGCAATACCCCTCTAGGGACGCTGGGAAGCCAGAAAAGTGCAATCCCCAGTTCATCGTTCCCTTTAGATAGCGTAGCACCCTCTTTAGTGCATTCTAATGGGTATCGCTGGGATTATGAGTGTATCGACTTAGTCGATTTACCGCAAGGGCAATATCAGGTCTGGTATAGTTCATTAAGAACATCAGACTCCCAATTATTTTTGCATATTCCTCTTGAGACACACTTGCCTCTGTGTTTTTCGAGAGTTTTGCACTTGGGTCATATGGAGTTTGAGCCGGGTTCACTTCAAAACTGTTAAACTTCTTTAGCAGTTTCTCTGTGTAGTGACCCTGTGATAACTTGTAGCCATCTTTCTCTTTGACGACTTTCACTCCAAGTATCACATCAGCTTCGCCCATATCTTTCATATCAAACTTGTCACACAGAGACCTCTTTGTCTCTTTTATTGCATTTATATTTGAGCTAAAGATTAGCATATCATCTACATAAATGAAAATCAAGACAATGCTAGACTCAATCTCTTTTGAGTACAAACAAGCATCTGATCGGTTTACTGTGTATCCCAGATCTAACAGTGTTTTGTGGAACTTCTCGTACCACTATTTGGGAGCTTGTTTTAACCCACATAGGGATTTTACTAGTCTACATACCTTCCCTTCTTGCCCGGGGTTGGCGCATCCAGGAGGTTGAGACATGTAAATTTCTTCTTTCAGGTCTCCATTTAGGAAAGCTGTTTTTACATCCATTTGATGGACTAGCCACTTGTGAGAAGACGCTAGAGCAAACAATATGCGTATTGTGGCTATTTTCGTTACAGGATAATAGGTGCAGAAGTAGTCTTCACCAAACTGATGTTTATATCCCTTAGCCACAAGTCTTGCTTTGAACCTTTCAATCGACCCGTCGGGTCTCATCTTCCTTTTGAAGATCCACTTACAGCCAATAGGTTTGGCTCCCTTCGGTAGGTCTACAACCTCCCAAGTGTGATTAGACTTGATTGAGTCTAGCTCACTTTGTATTGCTTCTTTCCAAAAGACCGCATCGACTGAGCGCATAGCTGCCTCAAAGGATTTAGGTTCCTCCTCTAGAATTAACTGACACACGAACTGATCAGAAATTTCATTAATGTCATTTATTTCAGAAATGTACATAATGAAACAGGTCCAAAACTTGTCTCGGTCCTTTTTCTCTTACTCCTTCTAGGTTCTTCTGTCTCAAGTTCTGTTTCAGAAGTTGAAGGTAGTGAGGACGAGACTTTTTCATAGGTATTTGATCCACGTTTTAGTGGGAATATGTGTTCGAAGAACTCGGCCTCTCGTGCCTCGCGCATAGAGTGGCCGTCTAGGTACATAAATCTATGTGCAGCGCTATTTTCTACATACCCCACAAATATTGCATCTGAGGTTTTAGGGCCAAGATTAGGTTTCTTGAAGTGAGGAAGACCTACCTTGGCCAGACACCCCCACACTTTGAAGTATTTTAGATTGGGTGCGTAACCTTTCCATAGCTCATATGGAGTTTTTTCATAACCTTTGTGAGGTATCCTGTTGAGGAAGTGGTTAGCTGTTAAGGCAGCTTCCCCCCACAGAGAGTTAGGAGCGCCTGCGCTTATCAGAAAGGCATTTATCATTTCCTTTAGGGTTCTATTTTTCCTTTCAGCCACACCATTTTGTTGTGGTGTATAGGGTGCTGTCACCTCATGGATGATTCCATGTTTTTCACAAAAGGTTTTGAGGGAGGTAGACTCATACTCTCCACCTCTGTCAGACCTAAGTCTTTTTATCTTTTTCTCTAACTGATTTTCTACTTTAGTTTTAAAGCTTACAAATTTTTGTTCTGCCTCATCTTTAGTTCTAAGCAGATATATCTTTGAAAAACGAGTGAAATCATCTATAAAGGATATATAATATCGCTTTCCCCCTTTTGTCTCAGTACTTTTGAAATCAGCTATGTCTGAGTGTATTAACTCTAGAGCACAAGTTGTATGATGCTTTGCAGTAATGAAAGGTTTTCTAGCTAGTTTAGCTTCAGCACATACTTCACATTGAGAAAGCGAATCATCTTGCACGTTTGAGAGCATATTCATAGTTTTTAATCTACTCATGCATTTGAGACCAACGTGTCCTAATCTAGCATGCCATACATCAAAAGAAACAGCAATATACGCAGAACCGCCATTACGTGTGGCAAGATTATTCATGAAAGTTTCAAAGTTTGCAGAAGTGAATGCAATGAGGGGTAAAACAAACAGCCTCCCACGTAAGTAAGCTTTCCCTAGGTACTCCCCTCTACGAGTCATGATCATTCTCTCGGATTCAAACACAAGTTTGATCCCGGCCCTAACCAACAAGGGCCCCGAGGCCAAATTCCTCCGCAGAGAGGGGACATACAACACATTAGACAGAAACAGATACTTTGTGGAATTGAGTTTTATCTCTACTGTTCTTACTCCTCTTACCTCAGCAGTACTGTCGTTTCCCATATAGACTTGATCTCCTTGTCCTTGAGTGAAGGCACTGAACTCCTTGAACATGATCCTACTCGCACAGAAGTGCCGAGTTGCTCCAGTGTCAATGATCCATTCTTCCGTGCCAGTCACCACATTTTCCTCCAGCGTCACAACCGCTGCTATGACTTCAGTCTCTTCCACTATGTTTGCTTGATGCTTGTTCTCTTGTTGAACATTCTTTTGGTCGTTTGCGCCCCATCGGCGATAGCACTGAGCCGCGCGATGACCGTTCTTCCCACAGACGTAACAAGGTCATCCTTTCCCTTTCTTCTGGTTCCTGTTGTTTTTGAACTTGTTGTTATTGTTGGCTTTGACTCCTCTTTTCCAGCCTTTATTTTGTCCACCATTCGCAGTTCTGGACCTATCACCTTTAACATCACTGGATTCAACCATGTTAGCTTTTAACGTACCAGAATTAGAAACAGACCTTTGTCGATAGGCGTCTTCTATGTTGATGTGATTGACCATCTCTTCCTAGGAGTAATCCTTGGACTCATGTTTCACTTTGTTTTGAAACTCTCCCCAGGATTCTGGCAGCTTCTCAAGTAAGGCATAGGTTTGTAGCATTTCATTTACTGGAATAAGTTCAACTTCAAGGTCGGACACCAGATTCTCATATTCGTGCACTTGCTCGATAACTGGTTTCGTATCCACCATACGATAGTTGAGCCACCGCCCAACCGTGTATTTCCTCCGACCAGCATCATCAGCGCCATACTTCCTTTTGAGCATGTCCCAGATCTCCTTTGCAGATTTGTATTTAGCATAGATGTCTAACAGGTTGTCAAACATGTGATGCAGCAGAAGACCGCAAACCATTTTGTTGTCCCGCTCGAACTTAGCCTGGATGTCTTGAGACTTGTCAGTTGTGACAGGTTCAGGTGTTACAGACGCAGGGGTTGTAGTGGAGCCGTCCTCTGGTTGAGGATTAGCAGAGTCACCAGTTTTTGCTTCAGCAGGTTCAGGAACATACGTGAGAACGTATTCCAATTCAGTAGATTCGATGTGTATGAGCAAATTGACTGCCCAACGACGATAGTTTAGGCCGTCAAGAGGTTGAAGCTTGGCAAGGTCAGATGCAGGCTTAGGTACGAAGGTCGACATGATATCCGAAGATATTTGCTTTTAACTGTTGGGGAAAATCGGATAGAATATGTCGTAGACCTGGGGCTACTGTTTTTTATAGGCTGAGTATGAATGAATACTGGAGGAATCGGTGACGTGTGCGAGACACTACCTTAAAAGCAAATATTTCTCGGAGACGGTTGTAGTCTTACCGGTTGCTTTCGACCAGTTAACACCGAAGCTCAGGATTGCAGAAGAGAAGAGGAGAATTAGATGAGTGATTAGAACTGATGAGGAGCAGGGTATTTATAGTGTTGGAAATACCCGCCCCTCCTCTCTCAGCCATTCACTGTTCCGCAATTTTAGGAAGAGTTGTGGTGAACATGCCCACAAGAATAGGAAGACTTATTCCACCACAATTTAATGTGTGGATGGTAGATTTCTACATGAAATCTACCTCTAAAAGGAAAAAAACTCGGAATTAAAATAAACGCCGAGTAAAACGCTGACCCCACCACACCGCGATGCGCGCGTGTGGGGTTCCCATTCCTTCTCTCTCTCTACAATAGTTTAAGCCTTCCAAATGGGTTGGTATTAAAAAGGTGGGAATTAGTCCCTTATCCTTCCAATGTGGGACAAGAGTGTCTTCCTTCTACACACTTGTTAAACCACCATCTTGAATGTAATTTCCAACACTTGGAACAATATGTTTGCAAATGTAGGCACTTTTTCATTATTTGGTATTCTATTCTAGATAATTAAAGAGTGCCGCACAAGTAGCTTAATTAATACTCGAATGGTAGATCTTTTCAACAACAAAAAAAAAAAAAATTACTCAAATATGGTAGATTGAAAGTGAGAATTTGTTGGACTCTTTGTGGGCACCAAACATCAATCCTCCCACCTAAGAGATCGTTGAATTACCATAATTTGCTCCTTGACAATCCTATTGGGCTACCTTTTTAGGGTGTGTTAATTAAGCAGTTCGAACCCCCTCGCATATGGAAAAATTAATATGGCCAGCACTTTGCCCCTTAATTGGGCCGGCTTGGAAAAAATTAATATGGCCAAACACACCCTAAACCTTTACAGTAATTCTTAAATTTATTATTGTACACAGTTTATTATTAAATTCATCAATTCAAAATTGTATTATTGTATTATTGCACACATTAATTAATTAATTTTTTTTAAACAATCAGATTCAAGACGGTGATGAAAGATAAGAAAGAAAAAGAAAATACAGTACAAATGGTACGTCATCTTTTATCATCAAACGGCCGCTAGCTTTGCCTTTCGGCGCCCAAAGAAATGTCATCAACTACACTATCATTTTTCTAACGTATTAGTTAAATGTTATTTTAAAAAAAAAAATGATTAATTGAGAAAAACATATTGAGAATTAAATAAAGATGAATGTGCAATCATATTATTAATTTGAGTAATACTATCATCTTATTTTATACTTTTTAAATGTATTAATTGATCATTGCATGATTTAATTATTGAGAATGTATATATTTTTGAAATATAATTAGCATTTTCATATTATTTCAACGACACCAAAATGTTGATTATCAGTAGACGTGCATCACTATACTGAATTGTGTGTATATATATATATATATATATATATATATATATATATATATATATATATATATATATATATATATATGTGTGTGTGTGTGTGTGAATAATTTATTTATTGATTTTACACAGACGTGTCAGGGCCACCCAAAATAAAATAACCCTTTTTCATACTTTTATTTATTAGTAAAAGATACTAAGAAGATTTGGAAGAAAATTTTGAAGCTTACGGATGGACGACTAGAGGTTGTTTCTTAAGTTCAGTCAATAATGTAATTAGATTTTCTAATTGAAACAAACTTTAATGAGATACCATAAATTGATAAAATAAGGTTATGACGTTATCTATTTAACAAGTTATCGGTGATGTAACATGTGAGACTCTAAAATACTTTTCTACAAAACTCCTATTTAATCTTGTGTGAAATTATTTTATGGTTTCAATATGTGAGATGAGTCGGATTTTTTTATTACTGAAGTTAACAATCAGACCCATTAATCAAAGATTTGATCCATTAATCAAATATTCGACCCGTCTCACGGATTAAGACCCGTGAGACGGGATCTCACGCAAGTGTTACCCTTCAATCAAATCTCAAAATAAATTTATAATTTTTACTCATACGATGATTTTATCTAATGGGTATGTGTATAAAATATTTTCTAAACTCTCTATTTCAAATGATATGATACAAAATATTTATATATTTATTTATGGTTTCAAAGGCCCAATTTAAGAGAAATATTTATTTATTTAAAGCTTCACCCAAAAGTCTATTTGAGATGAACATGTGAACCTGATGGACAAGTTTTTGACCCAAACTTTATTTCAAAATGAACCTAACCTATTTCTATATTTACTATGTTATATTTTACCAGAACTTAACCCAAAATTATAACTCGAGATTTTTAAACCGCGAAATGACATTCCCTAGCCGTTCACTCCCTCTCTCATTTCCTGCTTTCCCTAGGGTTTTGTGCCTATTTAAACATCACGTACTATTCTATAGGCAAAGACTCAGCCCCTCCTACCCATTTCTCTTTTTCATTTCATCTTCAAGAAACAACAAGCTCCAAGAAGATCAAGGCTTAGTAAGAACATGTTGCAAATGATGGTTGAGAAAACCAATAACAATCCTATGAAAAAAGATTATTATTTTTTGGGAAGGACAAAAGGATATGGTGGGAAGGTGGTTAGTACGAGTCGAGCGAAAACTCTTTCCTTAAAACCTTATTTGCCGTCTCCCAAAGGTACTAGGAACATTACGGCCTAGGCTTCCCAAGATAAAACGTACTACGATTCCAAGTTTGAGCACTCAAACAGTGGAACCCGGCGAACAAGAGCCTGGGATGAACACAAGAGGCAAGAAAGGAGAAGAAGCAGAGTTTCGAGAGAGAAAAGATTATTGTCTCCAAGTTATTATTATTATTGTTTTTTGAAATCTACTTCTCAACAAGAACTTATATAGGGGTTGAGGAATTCAATAGCATTCAACATGGCATTAAAACTGATACAAAACCAGTCTTGTAACCTTCAAAACTGACCATTTAACATGGAGATTAATTCTTGAATTTAAAAATTGGAATTAATTTCGTAACATCTGAATTAATCCTCCAAACAGTCACTAAAACGGCACAGGCAACCGTGCCATTCCAGAAGAAGGCTACCACTTCGCTCTGGAGAGCAGAGCACGCAACGTTCCGGAAGACGAGCGGACTCCTTCCGTAGCTAAAAGGTTGAAAATATTTTCAGAATGACTTAGCCCGCAAGGCCCGCAGGTGCCGACGTACACGAGTCAAGCATTTTCAGGCTCACTTTGCAATTTGATTTGCACCACCCCCTGCACGCGAGAGAGATCCTCTATGCTATACAATTCCATAAGCCTTAGAAAGGCTCTTGTATAAACAGGGTTGTAAAAATCGGTCTAGGCGCTCGCCTAGACGCTAGGCGCCTCTAGACCGTGGCGATTCCTTCTCTAGGCGCCCGCCTAGGTTACCGGCCGCCTAGGCGTCCACCTAGCGCCTAACTCAGCCGATTTGGCCGCCTAGCGTCTAAGTTAGTCGAGTTAACTCGTTTATTTCGATCGAGTTAACTCGATCGGCTCGGCCTATTTTATTATATATATATATATATATATATATATATATATATATATATATATATATATATATATATATATATATATATATATATATATATATATATATATATATATATATATCTGTGTGTGTGCGCGCGCGCGCATATGTATATATAATATGACTTTGAATCTTTGGATGATTGAAGTATTTGAGTATTTTTAATTTTTAATATATTTTTTTTTTGAAAACCATTGTTTTGATGTTATGACTTATGAATTATCATTAATTCATTTATTTGGATGTGTTATTTGATTAAATGTTGAAAGCAACCTCATTAAAATTGTCAAACTGCAAGTCTACCACTATTTTTTTGGCGCCCGCCTAGCGCCGCCTAGATTCCGCCTAGGCGCCGCCTAGACCGCCTAGGCGCTAGGCGCTGTCCGGGCGCCCGACTAGCGCCTAGCGCCTAGCGCCTACTGCAACCATGTGTATAAATAGTGGTGCAAACCCACTTCCCAAACCAATGGGGGACTAGAGCTACTTTAAAGCCTTTTCCTTTCATTTTCCAACTCAAATGGGTACTTTGAGAATCAATTTCTCATTCACTCATTATCCATTTTGAGCGTACAATATATCAATCTCTTCGGCTCACTACGAAGAACCCGAATCCACTTTGACCCGATCCAAATCGAAAGTGGACCCCACTTGTAATTTTACTACAAAATAGCTACTTAAAATGCCATTTTATGCTATTTTTTCCAACAATCCCTCACATGAATGAAAATTGATTTTCAGGGTATTTTGAAATCGAAAACAACTGTGTTTAACGGTCGATCCCTACATAGTATAGGTAGGTGTTACCCTTTGAACCTTCCCTTGTGAAGATACGTTTATTATATTGGCTGTAGATAGAACACGATGTCTTTGAACCGACTGCCGTTTGTGTATAGGATGACATATCTCACACAGGAACCTCCCAACTGTGCTCTGTTCTCATGACTGTGTCTGTTTTGGTCATGGGTCACCGTTCCTGGTTCTGCAAGAGTTTGTGAAGAGTTGAGCCTTATTCATTTCTCATTTGAAGCGACCCTCACTACTCTCTCACATAGGTGATTCTTTTCCGAGTATCCCGTATACTCACACATGTCAACCGACATTTCGAATCATTAAAGCATCAACATGCTAACCTCGTACGGGAATCACTGTTCTAACAAGGAGTGGAAGGGAGTCCGAGACCCCCCCACAGTGACACGCTTCGTTCCATAATTTAGTTGTCCCATTGAGCCTATGTGCCAACTAGGTTGGGTATCCACTATAGAACTTTTATTCCAAGCGCTTTATGTGACAACCCAAAAATAATTTATCTAAATTCTATTTTATAAATTCCCAAAATAGCTATTTTCACTCTTTCAAAAATTTTATTTCGAACATGGTGTTTGAATTAAATATTTTTAAGCAAAATTTTAAATAAATTCAACACCGAGGATATTCTATTTCGAAAATCCTAAGGGGGGTGTATTCAATCAAGACTTTTAAAGAGTTTCAAAGACTTTTAAAGTGATGGATTTTAAATGACTTTTGTAGAGATTTTGTAGACTTTCCTAGAATCTTTTAAACTTTCATCAACTTTGTAAGAGTCTTTAAAAATCCATAAGACAAACATTTATAGACTCTTAAAAACTTTTTCATATTAAAAAGTCTACAAAAGTCATTAAAATTCTAAATTGAATACACCCTTACAAACATTTCATAACTTCTACTAATACATTATTTATAATTTTCGTACAAAAAAAATATTTATATAAATCATAAATAAATTAATGCATTTCAAAAAAATAAAAAATAAATATTGATTGTCACAAAAATAGATTATATTATACATAAAGAAAATAGATTAATCAATTAATATAATCTATTTTCACTAAATAACTTTACTTTTACCTTTAATCCTTTCTTGATCCCCCATTACTATAAAATAAATAACAACCTCAAAAAATTCAACTTAACACAAATACAAATATTAATAATTAATGAACATATAATAACATAAAATTATATATATTAATTATATAAAAAAATTGTAAAAATTTGAGTATATTAATTCTATTTATTACAACAAAAATTATAGAATATTTATGCTGCGAACAGCAGCAGATTTTTGCTGTTCACAGCATGTTCGCTGCTGCGAACAGCAAGCTTGCTGCGAACACGCAGCAAACACAAAATTGCATAAATATAAAGAAAAATAATTACAACGTATAATATTATGAAAGTTTGAAACGTACCGAAAATTGATGAAAAATTTGTCTGGTTTAGATAGAGGAAAAAAAGTCTGTAGAGAAAATTGAAAAGTTTGGGGTTGGAGGGTTGGATTTCATCTATTTATATTAATGAAGAAAAAGTCTACAGAAATCCTATTATGATAGAGTCTATGAAAGTTGATAAATATTTGAATACCAGTAGACTTTTAAAGACTCTATAAAAGTCTGAAACGAATACCAGTATACTTTTAAAGACTTCTGAAAAGTCTGAATCGAATACCGGTAGACTTTCAAAGAGTCTTTAAAAGTCTAAATTGAATACCATCAAACTTTGAAAGTCGTTAAAAGTCATTAAAGCTCTTTAAAAGTCTGGATTGAATACACCCCCCTAAGTTTCGGGTACATTTATGTACCAAGTTGTGACCCAAAAAGTCAATTTGAGTGAAACCGGAAAGAAACCTGTGAAACCTAAATCAAGTGTTTTAACTAGAAACCATTTTCATAAAATCTATTTTTGACCCCAAGTTATCCAAAAATCATTTTAGACCTTGGTCCATGATACAAGGTGAACCATGAACCTTCTACTACCTTGTATGGTATTTTAAGAAGCAAGAAAATTTACACTTTCACCCTCAACCAATCATTTGCATTTTTACCTAGGGTTTTGCACCCATATAAATAGAATAGTAAATCCTTTGTTGTCTCCTGATCCCATTCTTTGCCTCTCCAAGTTCTCTGTAGACAAGAAGAAGTAAAACAGTAAGTTTCCAAGCTTCATTCTCATCCATTCCTTCATTTTCCCTTCTAGTTTTCCATCTCTTTTGCCTCCAATCTCTGAGGTTTCTATCCTTAAGCTTTGTATATATTGTTTGTTTGAGGTGTATAGGTGGTGAAGGAGGTAGTGGTTGAGTAAAGATGAGGAAGGGATCCACACAAGAAAAAGAAGAAGCTGAGGTATAAACCATGGACTCCCAAACTAGTTTTTGGCTCTGTTAAATGCTAGAAATGAGTTTCAGATGCTTAGAAATGCTAGATAATGTAATTGTTGAGCTATTTGTGCATTGTGTATGATCTATGATTGATTTACTGAAGTTTGGAAGTGTTTTTGGTTGATCTGGATTGTTTTGTGGTGAAGAAGAAGGCTCTGGTGCACACTGTCTGGTGCACTAGATGGCCTAACGGTCCTAGCCAACGGACTTCGAGGAGGTCCGCCGGCTAGCACCGTGGAGCAACGACTACAGGGGACGGATTTCAGCAAGATCCATCGCCCAGAGCCGCCGCTTGGCGGAGCCAAGGGGCGGGGCTTCACAAGCCCCGTCACCAAGCTCTGCGCAGGCCAAAAGTTGTTATGGTCGGGCCCTCTGTGGCTCAGCTACGCGTTGTTCAGACCAGGACTTGTGGGCCCTTGAGGCTCGGACACTCAGGCTCGTTACGACACACTAGTAGAAGTTAGTTTCGTTGGTTTTGGAGTTAGAAAACATGATTTACAGTTAGAAATGTGAGAAATGAATGTTCTGTGGATGTTGTTGTCTGTGAACTCTATCAGCATATGAAAATATAGCTTTTGGATATTGCTATTTGATTGAGAAGCATGCCTAGATACTTGTTAGAATTTGTTGAGAAGATTTGTTAAGTTATTGAGAATTTGGGAATGAGCAGTGCATGATTTCCCTATTTTACAGTGAGTAGAAATACTAGCAAATGAGTATGCTTTGAGTTGTGAAGCACGATCAATACTTGTTAAGTATTTGTTGAGAATATTTGCTAAGGGCTCATTTGGTTCGCGGAAAATATTTTAAGGGAAGTGGAATTGGAATTCCATGGAAAAACAATTACTAGGAAGATGAATTCATTGTTCGGTTGGTGGAAAAAGAATTACTTGGAATACTAATTCTATTGTTTGGTTAGATTTGGAATTGTAAGGAATAATGAGTATAAAGACTTATATGCCCCTACAAATTAATAAGAGTAATATAATTAAAAAAGAAAGTAAGGGTAAAATAGGCATTCCATCTCAACTTTTCTTCCCATCTTCCATGGAAAACAAAATCCTTGGTCCAACCAAGGATTTTGTTTTCCTCAAATTTGAGGAATTCATTTTCCAATGGAAAATGAATTCCATGAACCAAACACAAGAAAACAATATTTTCCTCTACTTTAAGGAAAATGTTTTCCTTTGGAAAACATTTTCCCTGAACCAAACATCCCCTAAGTGTTGATGTTTTAGTATAAAGCTGTGCATTTTCCTTGTTTCACAGTGAATGAGATTTAAAGCATATTATTTCACAATAAAGAACATGTTAGTAGATTTCATTGCTTATAGTGCATTATTGGCTCTAAATAATCCTAAGATCTATTTCGAAAACTTATATCTATTTTGAAAAATCACTATCTATTTGCATTGAGAAGATTGCATGATATTTGATTTCCAAAATGTGAGAAAGAGAAGTTGTTGAGAAGTATGTGCATGAGCTTGCATAAGTAAAGTTTGTTGCATGAGAAGAGAACTTGCATGAGAATCAAGTTGCATGAGATATATCTATATACTATCTATTTGTGAGGAAAAATGGTATTTTGGAGGACTGTTAGGACTATGTCCTTTTGGAAGAAAAGAGAAAAAAAAAAGAAAGTTTGAGAAAGGAAAGAAATGGTCAATGAGAACCAACAGATTTTATGAAGTAACGAGGTCGATATTCCCGAGTTACTAGGTTGGATACTACCCGTCGGGCTTGTAATCCTAGTTAGGGGGTGTGCACACTGAAAGTACGATACCTGATTCCACAGAGTTTGAGATAAGAACCAAGAGAGTGGTTCTGTAGGCGAGATGAGTATTAGGCCGGCTAGATGCTGAGCCCAGATAGGTTCGTTTACGATTCGTGAAGTCCTACCTCGCCCACGAGTACAGAAAGAAAACAAGAAAGTAAAGAAGAGAAAAACGAGTCAAGAGACTCAAGAGAAAGAAGAGAAAAGAGAGTCATGAGACTCAATGGAAAGAAGTGAAAAGCGAGTCTGTGTAACTCAAAAGAAACCTCCACAAAAAAAGTATATCATTTACATAAGATCGAGGGTATATATATATATATATATATATATATATATATATATATATATATATATATATATATATATAACATCATGATATTTATTGTCACATGACTTGCATGATTTGCACTTAAAGTATGATGAGAAGTATAGCTTTCGTTGTTGTTTGTGAGTTGGCATAATAGCATGAGTTTGCTTGTTGAAGTTTAAGTATCCCTTTACCTATCAGTTTGAGCATAAGAATTGCATGATGAGCTATGATTAGTAATATATATTTAAAGCATGTAATTTGTGTCTAAGTTGAGTATTTGAGAAAGCATGATTATATGATGAATAGGTCGCAAGCATATAGAGTTGATTATGAGCATGATTATGAAATTGTGATTAAATGTTGTAAGTAATTGAGATTATATGAGAATGCCAAATGATTTTCAAATCTATATCTATAGTATTTTACAGGGTTGAGTGGCTTTATACTTAGCATTCGTGTTAACGAGTTTATTTTCTACTTGTTTATATAACCCCTCTCAGGTAAGCCCAGTGTTTGAGCGCGCACGAGTTAGATTAGTGCGTAGATTATGAGATGGTAGAATTCTAGATTAGATTCTATCTTGAACATTGATGTCCAGATTCTATTTGATCTTTTGATGGTGCTAGGACACCGGGGATTATTCCCCAAGTATTGAAGTAGTTTTTGATGAGCTTGACTCTAGTATTTATCCCTTTTTGTAGCTGTGCAGTCACCATGTGTGGTGATTGTGGCAGTGACACCCGTATATTTTTGGGATTGGTTGGCTTTAAGTTATCTGAACCTTGTTTCATTATCTTGTTTAAACTTCTTTAATTGGGAATTAGATTTTAGAAAAGTAGGGTGTTACACTTCAGGCCCATTCCGCGTGTCAACTTCTCCACAACTTTTTTGCCTAACCCTTTGGTTAGCAGATCCGCTATGTTGTCTTTTGACTTTACGTAGTCAATCGAGACAACACCCATTGTGAGAAGTTGTCTAATGGTATTATGTCTACAACGCATATGTCTAGACTTACCATTATACATATTACTCTGTACTCTCCCAATTGTGGCTTGGCTATCGCAATGCACACATATTGCAGGTACATGTCTTTCCTAATTAGGAATATCCTTGAGAAAATGGCGTAGCCATTCGGCCTCTTCACAACCTTTATCCAAGGCTATCAGCTCAGATTCCGTCGTGGATCTAGCTATCACAGTTTGCTTAGAGGATTTCCATGCACCGGCTAGTGTAAACACATAACCACTCATGGACTTGGAGTCCTTAATATCAGATATCCAGATAGCATCGCTATGCCCTTCAAGTACAACAGGATATCTCGATAATGCAGTCCCATGTCACGAATATACCTCAAGTATCTCATAACTTTTGTTATTGCATTCCAGTGCATATCACTGGGGTTACTCGTATATCTACGGAGTTTACAAACCGTAAAGGCAATATCCAGCCTAGTACAGCTCATAAGATACATGAAACTACCAATAACCCGAGCATATTCTACATGAGAAATACCCTGTGCATGGTTCTTGTTTAGATGAACGTTCGTATCAAAAGGTGTCCTAGCCAATTGATCATCATCCTTGTTAAATTTTGCAAGGAATTTATCAATATAATGAGATTGGCTTAACACAAGACCATTAGGTCTTCTAATGACTTTAATCCCGAGGATTAAATCAGCTAAACCCATATCCTTCATGTCAAATTTCGCATTTAACATGTTTTTGGTATACTTAATCAGTTGATCATTACTACCAACGATGAGTATATCATCTACGTATAAACAATGAATGACATATCCGTCTACCATTTCCTTAACGTAGACACATTTGTCACTTTCATTTATTTTAAACCCATTGATTAACATCGCTTGGTCAAACTTCTCGTGCCATTATTTAAGAGCTTGTTTTAAACCATATAGCGATTTAACCAACTTACACACTTTTTTTTCTTGGCCCGGAACAACAAACCATTCGGGTTGTTTCATATAGATTTCCTCATCTAACTCGCCATTTAAGAAAGTTGTTTTTACATCCATTTGATGAACTTCCAAATTCCGCAACGCGGCTATGGCAAGTGTCATCCAAATGAAATTTATTCTCGTCACGGGAGAATACGTGTCGAAGTAATCAAGGCCCTCGCATTGCTTGTAACGCTTAATTACAAGCCTAGCCTTATACTTCTCGATGGAACCATCCGGTTTCATCTTCCTTTTAAAGACACACATAAATCACAAGGGTTTACTACATGGGGGAAGATTAACAAGTTCCCAAGTGTGATTTTGTAGGATATAGTCCACCTCGCTTTTAATAACCTGTTTTCACATTGGTCCTTCGGTAGAAGTCACGGCTTCTACATACGTTCGATGCTCATTCTCTATCAAACAAGAAAGAAATTCTGGTTCATTTTCAAATAAACAAGTTAGAGTACTAGAATCATACTCTAACAAGTAAGTTAGGAAATCATGACCAAATGATTTTTCAACTCTTACCCGCTTACTGCGTCTCGGCTCGAGCTTGGGTTCTTTTTCAGATTCCCCCCTATCATTATCCACAGCTTCGTCAAACGTCCGTTTTGACGTACTTGGTCCCTCGTTGGACCTGCAAGGAAATATATTTTCAAAAAAAAAAAAGATGCATTCCTTGACTCTATTATTGTGTTCTTATGTACGTCAGGATTATTGGACTCGTGTACTAAGAACCAGTAAGCACTACTGTTATGTGCATAGCCAATAAAGATGCAGTCCACCGTTTAGGACCTATCTTTATTTTCTTAGGTGTTGGCACCTAAAATTTTGCAAGACATTCCCACACTTTCAGGTATTGGTAGGAAGTTTTCCTACCGTACCACAGCTCATAAGGAGTCTTATCGAGCTTCTTGCGGGCTACCTTATTTAAAAGGTAATTACTTGTCAAAATTGCCTCACCTCACATGTTTTGTGGTAGGCCCGAACTTATAAGCATCGCATTCATCATACTTTCAATGTACGATTCTTGCGTTCGGCAACACCATTCGATTGATGTGCGTAAGGTGTCGTACGCTCTTGTATGATTCCTACACTTGCGCAGAAGTCACCGATTGGTGCTTTGTACTCACCACCTCGATCGCTTCTAACCTTCTTAGTCTTATAATTAAGTTGGTTTTCAACTTCATTCTTATAAAGAATGAATTTTTCTAAGGCTTCGTCTTTGCTCTTTAGCAAATACACATAGTAGTAATGTGCGCTATCATCGATAAACGTGATAAAATATTTATAACCACCTCTCGTTTGTATCGATTTAAAGTCGCACACATCACTATGGATTAATTCTAGTGCATGGTTCAGTTTGTCTTTCAACCGATTTGAAAAGTGCCTTAGTTAGTTTTGCCTCAACACAAATTTCACACTTATTATTTGTGCTTATTTGAAACGTAGGAATATGGTTAATGCTAATTAATCTAGGCATAGAATTAAAACTAACATGACCTAGTCCACTATGCTATAAATTGGAAGGCTCAAGCAAGTAAACAGAATTAACATTGCTTTTATTGATAACATGCATTACACTGAGCTTAAAAAGCCCATCAGTTACAAAACCTTTACCAACAAACATTCCTACTTTAGACAAAGCTACTTTGTCTGACTCGAACACCATGCGGAACCCATGTTTGTGGCATGGTAGACTAGGTCATGTTAATTTTAATTCTTTCGTAGGTCAGGAACATACAGAACGTTATTCAACGTCAGTTCCTTCCCGGAAGTCATATTTAGAACCACCTTGCCCATGCCTTCCATAGCAGACTGAGCAGAGTTGCCCATCCACACCTTCTCGCCCTCAATGGTCTCAAAGGTGCTGAACATCTCCCGGTTGCAACACAAATTCCTTGTTGCACCGGTGTCGATGAACCACTCGGGCGGGTCAGACCCCACGAGGTTCACCTCGGTCACCATGGCCGAAAGGCTGATCTCGACCTCCATTTGATTGTTTTCTCTAACAACGTTGGCTTCAGAACTATTGTTCTTCTTCCTTGGAGCCTTGCATTCAGATGACTTATGGCTAGGCTTACCACAATTGAAGCATTTACCATGAAACTTAGTCTTGGTAATGCCTCCATTCAGACCTAGCTTTCGCTTGTCCTTCTTGGCTTTCTTGGTGTTTTTATCGCGCTCCACCACGTTGGCCTTAGCGCCACCAATGACAAGACTTTTCCCATCTTTCTTCATGTTCCCCTCCTCAATTTTGAGTCGCTGGACCAGGTCTTCCAGGTTCATTTCTTTTCGCTTATGCTTAAGGTAATTATTGAAGTCCTTCCATCTTGGAGGCAACAAGTGGATCACAGATCCCACTTGGAAGGCTTCACTCAGCACCATGCTCTCGTCTCGAATCTCATCAAAGATTAATTGCAAATCTTCAACCTGACTTAGCACGGTCTTGGAATTAGCCATTTTCAAGTCAAGGAATCGACGAATAACAAATTTCTTTGCGCCGGCATGCTCGCTTTTATACTTATGATCCAAGGCTTCCTACAACGATTTCGCTTTGCCAATCTTTCAATACACATCATACAATGTATCACATAATCCATTTAAGATGTAGTTACGGCAAGGAAGTCTGAATCCTTCCAAAAGCCAACTGTCATCACGGATTGGGCATCTTGCTCCTTCAACTCAAGAACCCTCTCGGTCAAGAACTATGCCAACCCGAGAGTTGCTAGGTAGAACAACATCTTTTGCTGGCACCTCTTGAAGTTTGAGCCAGTGAACTTCTCTGGCTTTTTATCCGAACCACTTGGTACCACAGGTATCTGCATCGTGGGGATGTACCCTTTGGTGCTCCCACCGTCTTGTGAACCTACGTTCACTGGTGGTGCCTGGGAATGTGCAACATTGTTGCTGTTCCCACCATTATTGTTCTCAACAACATTTTCCTCCCCATTGTTGATGACAGGCAGAACAGGGTTCTCCATTTTTTCAAGGAAATTAGAGACAAAATAGAAAGATATGTATAAGGTTTTAAGATTGTTGTAAATGATGGTTGAGAAAACCAATAATAATCCTACGGAAAAGGATTATTATTTTCTGGGAAGGACGAAAGGATATGGTGGGAAGGTGGTTAGTATGAGTCAAGCGAAACATTCTTTCCTTAAAACCTTATTTGCCGTCTCCCAAAGGTGCTAGGAGCGTTACGATTTAGGCTTCCCAGGATAAAACGTACTACGATTCCAAGTTTGAGCACTCAAACAGTGGAACCCGGCGAACAAGAGCGTATGATGAACACATGAAGCAAGAAAGGAGAAGAAGAAGAGTTTCGAGAGAGATAAGATTATTGTCTCCATGTTTTTTTTTTTTTTTTTTGAAATCTGCTTCTCAACAACAATTTATATAGGAGTTAAGGAATTCAATAGCATTCAACATGGCATTAAAAATTGATACAAAACCAGTCTTGTAACCTTCAAAACTAACCATTTAACATGGAGATTAATTTCTGAATTTAAAAATTGGAATTAATATAGAATTAATTCCGTAACATCTGAATTAATCCTCCAAACAGTCATTGAAATGGAACAGGCAACCGTACCGTTCTGAAAAAAGGCGTGCGGGACTAGCCGCGGGCCTGGAAGTTATATATATTTAACTTTCAAATTATGTTATGTTATTAATTTTTGCTATCAAACTTGTGATAATGTATTATGAATTTGTTTTGCGATCAAATTTATGAAATTGTTTTTGTTATGTTTATAAGTTTTTTAAAGTAAGTTTTTTTTTTTTTTCTATACAGGTATTGATAATAATGATATGCAACTTAAACAATGATAAGCCTCAAAATATGCTAAGTTTGCAGGAGTTTTCTAAGGAGTTTTGCACTAGTTTTGACTTAGAAGTCTTGTTTCTAGAGCAAATTATATTATCTTAAAAGCACAATTTTATATGGAAATACCTTCCTAATTATAATTTACTTGTTTTTAGGTACTTTTAGACATAATGCGTGGTAAAAAGGTCAAAAAGGGCAAAGTCGAGAAAAATGGCGCGAACGAGGACCGAACGCACCGTGACTACGCACGATAGAAGGAGGGAATGGGAATTATTTTCCATTCACGCCCCTCCTCACAACGTGAGAGGACATGTGAATGGGAATTATTTCCCATTCACACCCCTCCTCTAACACCCCGAAATTTTGAAACTTTTGAAGCTTATATAATAAAGGTGAAATCTCATTAATTCTCAAAACATAATACGAAGTGTACGGGGTGCTATGCCACACTTGAGCTAGAGAACTCAGGTGCACAGGCTAACTAACTATTATCCTCAATAATGTAACTACATAATCATGGCACGCAAGCCGAAAGGGAAATTAACTACTTCTACACTCCAAGGTTCTAGCGCGCTCCAGTGTCTACTCTTCTGTGCCTGAAAGCCAAATATATCTGTTCAGCGAGAGATGCTGGTAACCCACACCAACACGTTGAAATACAATACATATAGATATATACATAGATATACGAAAAACCATTTCGGAGCATGAAGATATATCCTAAGAGACTCTAGCTTTCAAAACGGGGATTAGACTCGACAGATAGGGATAAGCACAACCAACAGTCATAATTAAGCATGCACAATTCACAGGCAGATAGAGATAAGCACAGCCATTAGTCATAAACAAGCATATACAGTTACTGGCATGTATCCTAGGGTCACGCTTCCATAACAATCCAATCATCCATATCTCATCACACAGCACACTTTGTTGGCGCCACAGGACCAATCGCATGCCCATACATGAGGGTCAGCGCATATAGCTCTGACACGGCCCCGCAGCACCCTGCCCCGTATCGCAACACGGAGGGGTCGATCGCAACCGACCGATGAACCGCAGCTCATCATAGTTTGATCGCAACCAAACAGTGGACTGCAGCCCAAGAGTATGTCATCTGACCGCAGCTAGGAAATATGAACCGCAGCTCATGTAGAAACGTTTGATCGCAACCAAATGGTGGACCGCAGCCTGAGAGTGTAAATCTGACCGCAACCAGCTTCTGAACCGCATCTCAGGAATAACCAATCCGATCGCAACCGGATTGGGGTATCATGCACACATAACACATAGCAAGCACATGCAACCCACATTAACACATTGTGAAGGGGGAGAAAACGTATAACAACCTATGCGTGATCCTTCACATACTAAGAATAATCCTAAGGGGTACATACTTCTTTTACCTAGGTCAACGGGATACCAATTCAACTAGCATGCAATATATAAGACTCATACAACCTACGAACGGTACCCGAAATATCAAACTAGATATAGGCACGATAGACGGAGTCCGTTGGGACGCCACGGGGGTCGGGGGAACATCAAACGGGGAAGCCAAAATCCTGAAGTGGTGTATTTTCCAGCGGGTAGCCGGTGGGTGAGGGGTCACCCGCCGGCTGCCCGCTGGTGGCGTGATTCCGGGCAGCAGGTGCCCGGCGGGCAGCTGCCCGCCCGCCGGCTGCCCGCTGCCGGTGTTGCCCATGTTGGCCGCGGGTAGGTGGCGGGTCCCCTACCCCCCACTGACTCTTTTATCACAGAAAACGCCCCGGGAACCAATGTGGAACCCGAAACCATGCTTAGATACTTTCAAATGCAATTGACAACAACACGTAGACAAATTAACGGATCCAAAAGCGAGAATATATGGCACATAACCTATCATGCTTTTCTAAACATAATCAACACCCAATCATACGAATTCCCACCCAATACATTAAGAATAACACCATACGAGTTTCACGTTGCATCCTAGGGCTCTAATCACAATTAAATCATCAAGAACGTAACCCATCTCTTAACATCAAGAAACAATACAATTTATCAAGAATATCTCATAATCATCAAGAATCCGAATTCCTCAAGAATATCACACAATCATCAAGAAACCCTTTTCATCATCAAGATTATCAAGATAAATCCATATCACCAATTATCAAGATCACATCATCAATATAAACAATTTATCAAAACACAAGAATATAGAGGGATGCCTAAGAGGGAGATCATAGCTAAGAAAATAGGTTTTGTTGAGACATGGGTTACCTTTTAGCCTTAATTAATTCCTTGGCTATGAAGGGTGTTTCTTGAAGCTTTCTTCTTTCTTGATTTCTCCTAGGGGAATTCTTGGAACTTCTTGTGTGGTGGGGGTTCTAGGTGCCTCCTTATGTCCCTTATTTATATATCTAAGAGTCCTAATCAGGGCCCAAATACTATAGGCTTGCTAACTCTACTCCTTTTAGGACTAGGGCTTAGATTTAGAGATGGGGGCCCACGGACTATGGTGGGCCTTTTCCAAATTAATTATTGTAATTTAATTTTTTTTTTTGGATAATTGGTTAAATGATTAATTGGTTTTAGGGGTCGTAACACGGGGTGTTACACCTCCTCACAGCGTGAGAGGCAGTGTGAACGGGAAAGTAAAGGGCCGAGCAAGCTCAAGCGAAAGGAGTTAAAATCCCATTCACGCCGGCCTCACAGTGTGAGGCCGTGCGTGAATAGGGTGACGAACCAAAGTTGATTATTTAAAGGCAAAAATCAGATTTGATGAGGAGTTCAACATTTTCTAGAGAGAAGTTTTCTTAGGTAGTTTTAGATTAGGGTTAGCTCTCATTTTTTCTCTTTCTAGGATTTTAGTCAAAATCTAGATGTTTTGCAAGGAGGATTGAAGATTTGGAGTGCTTATAGCTTGGATCTTCATCTTCTACCAACATTTGAAGGGATCTAGCTTGAATTTTGGGTGAAATCTACTCTTTGCTCTTTATTGTTTCTATCTTGTTCATCCATTTTATACTTGCTAGATCTTGATCTTTATAATGTGTGGCTAAAATTCTAGGGATTAGAATTGTTGTGTAGATTGTATTTGTGATGCTTAGCTTGATTTGATTTGTGATTGTTGTGGTGATTGAATATTGAGGCTTGTATGTCTTGTTGGAAGTGAGTTTAGTATAGACTTGTGTGTGAGGATGCGCATCTCATCCATTAGATCTAGGATGAGTGCATTGGCAAGAGATTATGATGCACTCTAGCCTTACCACTTGCATTTCCCGCCTTGCGATCCGAGAGGGCCAAGTCCGTAAAGAAATGTAGGCAAGATGTTTGTTAAAATGCCCCATAGAGAATGAGAATTCCTACGGGAGGCGTATGGACCGAATTAGCTACGCACTAGCAACACCATTTCTCTTGACTAGAGTCACAACACACAATCACCACCCAACCTTTGGAGTAGCTAATCTCACAATGCAATTAGCACACACGATCCTAATCCATTCTCTTTTCTTTCCTTTGATTTACTTTTACTAGTTCTTTCTTATTCCGTTTCCTTGACTGCCTCAAATTGTTAATGCAACCTCTTGGCCCAAGAATCTGTAAGCCCAAAAATCCTCACCATATCACTCTCTCAACACTTCCAATT